CTCTGCACAGGAGCCACAGCTCTGCACAGGAGCCACAGCTCTGCACAGGAGCCACAGCTCTGCACAGGAGCCACAGCTCTGCACAGGAGCCACAGCTCTGCACAGGAGCCACAGATCTGCACAGGAGCCACAGCTCTGCACAGGAGCCACAGCTCTACACAGGAGCCACAGCTCTACACCAGATCCACTTCTCCATCACGCAAAGGACTCCGAGCGCTGTTCGTCCTCTTGAGCCTCCTCGATCCTAGCCATGGCGTCGCCGCCAGGAGACATCACATCGTCTTCTCTGCGCGAGGAAACGGACACTAAATCAGATGCCTGTTTGATGTATAATAAAACATGCATTTGATGATACAATTGAAACCGCGTGACATAGAGGAAAGTAATCGAAGAGCACAAAAAAACTACTTGACGTACAACAGGCGCTTTTTACTTAGTGCAAGCAAGGCCATCACAGCAATAAGAAAAACCAAGCAATGACTTCGTAAAGCATTGATCCTAACTTAGGGCAGTTGGAACTCTGAACTTTAACACTGGAAGTTAACATCACAATCAAGAAGAAATTCTAGAAATTTCAGCAGTAATGTTATAAAATCAGTTCTGAACGTGGAGCCCAGAGTGCATGAGAACAATTAGCAACTTAGGACTTTTATCAGGATCTTCTAAATTCTACACAAAGCGCTACCGTAAACTATGTACCACATAAATCACATTAATCAACTTTTTAAACAATAATGTCTGATGTACAATGAGAAATGTCAGCACAATATTTGATTCTTGTTGTAATGCCAACAAGAATCAAAATTATATTGAAAACGATCCCATCGCTTTGGATGTTTCTCTATTGCTAAAAAATAACATTAATGATGAAATACAACCGTTAAGCAATCAGAAAAGCAACAAAGCCATACAGATTTAATCACAGTTTATAAGCAGTTCATTCTAAACTGTTGTCTTGCATGGGAAAAGGTTAGATTAATTTTGAGCTCGATTAAAAAATAATAAGATTAATCGAGATTAATAATTCTCATCCGGCTGCGACATGCGTAAGAAGTTTGCCATGACTGTTTTGCCATGAAAACAACATGACTGTTGTTTGCCATGAAGTTTGCCGTAAGAAGTTTGCCATCAGCAAAGAAGACGCAGCATTTACCTGGCATTTGCAGCCTGGTCAAGCGTATGAGCAGAAGCTACCTCTCCTGTAGCAGAGGTTGTTGGGCGGGCGGTAGAGCGCGAAGAGAGGTATCTGGTAAGACTCGTGTCGCTATCGGTATCGCTACGAGACAAACCAAGTCAGGCGATAAGCAAGCATTCCGAGTAGCATTAGTCACGTTATTATAGAAAGACTACGACTAGAACGGTGACCTTATTAGTAGCAGGTTTCTCTGCGCAAATTATTGATGGCTAAATTTGAAATAACATGCAATAAATGAATTAAAGTGAAGATTGAACCAAATACGAGTAAATTAATTTTTGCAAAGAGGTTACCTGCTGCACATAAGTACCGTTCAAGAAGTTTATTAAACACAAATCTTTACGACCCATTTCAATAATAAATATATTATTATGCAAACATTAAGAAGCGGTATGAATCGCCCAACACTCAAGACAAAGTTTTAATTCCATCATAAATCTAAATCAATCGCCGAAGCACACAAATTTAAGATGTTAGTAAGCAAATGTACCCTAGCACATGCGAACACTTCGACATTAATGGCTCATAGCACTCAGAATTAATTACAAAGGGGCTAACGATTTACACTGAGTACTTAAGCGTAGAAATTTTGACGCAAGAGCGAAATGCTTTCATCATGATATAGAATTATAGTGATGTGAGTAATGACAAGAAACTTCGAGTGCAGAATTTCGCTAGAGTATATTGGGGTTTGCCTCCAACACGGACATTTAGACTTACTCTGTGCTCTTCAGGTATTTCTAGGAGGCAAGACGAATCTTATACATCCAGCAACGTTAATGTTCCCAAGCAAGTCATATGCAATTAACCAACAATCACATATAATCATGTTGAGGTATAGCTCTGCGTTAAGTGACACACATGCCATATCATAGAAGGAGGTATTATCTCTTATCAAAAATCTTATTTAAAGAATTAGTTGCTCAACATGGAGATCCAAAGAAACTGACCTGTCCGATAACTCAGAGTCTGAGTCAGAGATGTCCCCCTGGAGGGCGACTTGCAAATCTTCTATTCTCTTAAAGGCTAATTTGAGATCGCTCTTGAGGGTGGATACTTCAGACTCCATGATCTCCATCTGCTTCTCAAGCTCCTGTTTCTTGGAGTTAAGCTCCGTGTTTCGTTGCTCGAAGAGGGCGGCTTCTTCCTTGGCCTGACGCAGCTGACGGCCGAGCTTCTTGTTCTGCTCGAGGCTCTGCGACTCCTTCACCTTCGCCAGGTCGCACTCACCGCTCAGGCGCTCCACCTGCTCCTTCAGCCTCGTCACTTGGCTCTGTCAACGGCAATACAAGTCACATTCACTGAACTGTGCACGCCGTGTTTACGTCAACAATGCACGCCGTGTTTACGTCAACAATGCACGCCGTGTTTACGTCAACAATGCACGCCGTATTAACATCAACGATGCACGCCGTATTCGCGGGAGGAATTAATCGAATAATGGCGCATAAAGACAAACTATTGATAGGATTAAGGGTATAAGGTAAGATATATGAAGACTTTTGTACTATATGAATGATGAGCACAAGACCCTTGCAGTCCGACTATGCAGTCAATAAAGAATACAAAGTTAGCTAAAATGAGATACAAGAGTGTGCAGTTGTAAAAACAAATGTAAGTAGGCATTGTAGGAAGAAGAAATAACAAATAGTTTCAATACTTCTGAAACATGTTGATAATTTGAAAGCTTATGATTTATATAAAATGTCAGTTATTCGCTATTGAAACTCACCTCAATTCTTTTCTTGGTAGCGAGTTCGAGTTCAAGTTTAGACTCGAGCTCCTTGACTTTCATCTGCAACATCCGCTGCGTGTGGATGTTGGCGGTCTCGCCCTCCAGCACCTCCACCTTGCTGCTCAGCTCCAGCAGGCGCTCTGACAACAGCTGTCCAGTCATCGATGTTAAGTCAGTCTTTAATGGCATGTAATATATGTGTTTTGTTGATAATTAATGGCATGTAAAATGTGTTTTGTTGATAACTTAGCCTAAACGTAAGCCAGACAGCAGCTGTCCAGTCATCCATGTTAAGTCATTCTTTAATTTCATGTAAAATGTGTATTTTGTTGATAATTAATGGCATGTAAAAGGGGTTTTGTTGATAACTTAGCCTAAGCATAAGCCAGAAAGCAGCTATGCAGTCATGGATGCTTAGTAAGTCAGTCTTTAATGGCATGTAAAATATGTTTTATTGATACCTCAGCCTAAAGATAAGCCCAGACAGTAGCTGTGCATTCATGGATGTTAAGTAAGTCATTGTTTAATGGCATATAAAATATGTATTTTGTTGATATCTCAGCCTAAAAGTATGCTTAGAAAATATCAGAAAAATATTTCATCTCGATGAGCAAGAGTCTGCATGTGCAAAGTTGTTCTTCAATTGTTCAGTATGAACTAAGTTGATTATATGTTGGCATATTTACAGTTAGCACACGTAGAGTTAATATTTGGAGTCAACACGAAGTTTGAAAGAATATATATATATATATATACGTACTGAGCCCCTGGTCCTCATACAATCTGAATTTAGAAATTTTATATTTATAATTTTGAATATAAATATCCCGTCACTTCTAATATGGGTTCCCCCGTTTTTACTAGTGATGCCTCAATAATTTTTTCAAATAATTTGGCTTCAGGAAAATTTACTTCGATGATTGCGTAGGCAAAGTACTCCACACTTTACATAACAAAAACAAAATAAAGGGCTGTGAAATAAGGAATCTAAAATGTCTCCCTATTTCCTAATGGGTTATAAAGGCAACTAAGGCTAAGATAGAAGTCAGATAAACTGAATAAGAGATGAAGAATACAGATAAGAAGATGAAGAAAATGAAGAATACAGATAAACTTAAAGTGATGAAGAAGATGAAGAATACAGATAAGAAGATGAAGAATACAGATAAACTTAAAGTAATGAAGAAGAAGAAGAATACAGATAAAGTTAAAATGAAATATTTGCCATCGTACCTGCTTCTCTTGCTCGAGCTCGGCTATTCTCTGTGACTGTTCAGAGAGCGTGATCTGGTCGACGGAGATTTGTGACACGGTCGACTTGTATTTCTTCAGCGTCTCTGCGTGCAGCTCCTCGTTCTCTTCAAGCTAAACACGCAAAAGAACACTTAATACAAGCACCAAATTCTCTTATCTAAATTGAAGTATTGCAAACACGGTTCAGGAAGTATAAAACTCGTATGGAAGCATTAACACAAGCAACAAATTATCTTCTCCAGAACTTCAAATATGTGAACACGGTTCACGAATTACAGAATTCGCATTCTCTTCAAGCTGAACACGCAAGTAAACAATTAACACAAGCAACAAATTGTCTTCTCCAGAAATTCAAATATGTGAACACGGTTCAGGAATTATAAAACCCGTATGGAAGCATTCAATTTGAACGTCTGTCTATATTTACGGCAGTTCACTCGCATACGAATAAGAGAACATTTACATTAAGTTATTAATTGGAGCGTGTAACTACCTGCAATTTTGCTAAGACTTAACATATGTTACCAGTGCCTAATAATAATAGCCTAGTACTTGCAATACCTTGCAATATTAATAGCCAGTACTTGTAATATTAATAGCCAGTATTAATAGCCAGTACCTGCGTCTGGAGTTCGGTCTTCTCCTTGAGGAGCCTAGACGAGCGGTCCTCGGCCTCCTTCCGGCAGCGCTGGGCGTCCTCCAAGGAGACCTGCAGCTCAGCGAGGTCTGCGTCAGCGGACTGGCGGGCCTTCAGCGCCGCGGTCTTGGCGAACTCGCAGTCCTCCAGCTGCGTCAGTTAAGGGGGACAGTTGCAGGTGGGAACAATGGCTCAATGGCATTTTAAGATCCTTAGTATTTGTTAAGGACGTAGCAGTCCCAGGCCACGATCGATGGATCGCCGCCTCTGATTATCGTTCATCCGCCCTCATTTGGGCCAAGATAGTACTATAAGATAATTAATGCCAGGAGCTGGATGGTATTAGAAGAAAATATAGTATGATATTAGACTATCTTTCTATAGTACGGTATATGAAAAGACAGTAATGTGTAAAACAGTAATAAATAACTGTTTTACTGTGTAAACACACAGTTTACTGTTTTGTAAACAACTGTGTTATTACTGTTTTGTGTGTACTGTTGTAAACAACTGTGTTATTACTGTTTTGTGTGTACTGTTGTAAACAACTGTGTTATTACAGTGTAAAACAGTAATATTGTATAGGAAGAGGATCGCGCAATTAGATTAGGTACTCACATGTCGTCAAGTAGATGTTTTGGTAAACTTGTTATGGTCAAAAAGATTGATTTCAGTTGCCAAATATAATGGTACAATGAAAGTTAAGTTCCCTCAATAGCTTGAATTGCATGATCAAAAGTGAAGAAAATGGTGAACGTAAATACTGAAATCTGTACACCGCCCTTGAAGTTATAAATCTCAATGCATTTCGATAAAAACAACAAATGTTATGTATTTAGTTCCGACAGAATTTCGTCTTTTACAATCATTGACCGTGCGATTCATTATCAGATACCTAAAGTACGCATCCCGAACCCAATAAATATATATATATTAAGGGGACCTGCTACCCTAAATCGAGGTAGCCTCTAACTCCTACAGTTATTATCCGATCATCATGAAACTTCACGTACATACGTAAAATGTAAAAATAATAACATTTTACTTCTATGAATTTTTCGAAAAAATTGATAGAAAACGTGATATTCATAGAAAACGGACAAATAAGGGGTACTATAGAAAATCTATCTCCTCCCACAAATATCGTCCGACAATATCGAGACACATATCATTAGATTCGTAAAGACCATACCTATCAACTATACCATCACTTTTTTCATTTTCCCCATAGTTTTTTTTATGCGCGTTTTTCTCATTTTTTCACTTTTTTTACCCCCTCCCCCCCCTTTCTCCCCCATATATAAGACGAACCATGCACAAATTCAAAAAAAGCGATAGATAGGTCGATAGATATGGTCTTTACGAATCGAATGATATAACTCTCATTGATGTAGCTTGAAAACTGTAGGAGGAGATAGGTTTTCCGTGACAATAAGTTGCATAAGTTGAACTTTTCGGGACGGCGCGACAAAGTCTCGCGCGCCTCGAAATAGGCACTCAATGTAGCATGGATACCAAATTATAGGCTTCTGTAGCTTAGTCCACTCAAGGATGCAAGCAGCAACTTGTAGCGCACCTCCACGTACAATGTTAGGAAGGTAACTGAGCTCAGATGCCAGATACACCAAGATATGTAGTCTTGCCGCTGTAATTTTCTCTGGTCTATTTACTGAAGGAACTCCACCCCCCGCCCCCAAATAAAGGCGGGCCATCTGCGTCAATATTGCCGTACATGAATCGCAGTAGTATCGTTGGAAAGCTCAGAATGTCAGCTTTAAGATGAGACTAAGCATGTAACTGCAGTACAACTCAAGTAGAAACTATATTCAAAGATTTCAGCAGCTAATTTCTTTATATCTAATTACTTAAAGAACTCTCCCACCCGCTTCCCTTTAAAGAGACGTCATTAACGTAAATATTGACGTACAGCGATGGTAGTGGTACCATTGGAAAGAGCAGAATTCCAGCTTTCAGATGAGCACAAAAACACAAAAATGCCAAAATTGAAGATTTTGGGTGGCAGGTCCCCTTAATAGTTCTAGATTAAAAGTTTAGCGTCAAGTACACTTTTCGATGGTAATTTTTAGTTATCGAGGCCAACCTCAATAATATGAGTGGCCATCGGGGCTCCGCATGATGATGCTGGTGCAGTGGTAATTTTTAGTTATCCAGTCAAGACTCAATAATATAAGTGGCCCCTGGCCTGAGTCTTGAGCCCTCCGGTGCCCCCTAAATAGTTCTAGAGTAAAAGTTTAGCGTCAAGTACACTCTTCGCTGGTAGTTTTTAGTTATCCACTTGAGACTCAATAATATGAGCGTCTACTGACCTGAGTCTTGAGCTGCCGGATGATGAGCTTGCTGGGACCGTCGGTTTGCGTCTTCTCCAGCATCGTCTGAGTGTCTTTGAGCAGAGCCTTCGTCTTGCGGAGGTCTTTCTTCAGTCTGAAAAAAACAAAGACAGGAATGTATACTTGAAGAAAATATACACAGGAATGTATACTTGAAGACATTATGTACAGGAATGTATACTTGAAGAAAATATTACAGGGATGTATACTTGGAGAAATTATGTACAGGAATGTATACGCGAAGAAAATGTGTACAGAAATGTATACTTGAAGAAATTATGTACAGGAATGTATACGCGAAGAAAATGTGTACAGGAATGTATACTTGAAGAAATTATGTACAGGAATGTATAGTACTTGAATAAAGTATATTCAGCAATGTTTACTTTAAGAAAGTATTACAGGAATGTATACTTGAAGAAAATATATTCAGCAATGTTTACTTTAAGAAAGTATTACAGGAATGCAGTAGACTTGGAGAAAGCATGTACAGGATGTACCTATACGTGAAAAAAGTATAGACAGTAATGTATTTGCATTTGGGAAATGTGAAAAAATTTATTAGCGCTTACTTGAAAACTTGCATTTGATCAGATGCAGAGAGCGTTAGCAATCTTGATTGTAACTCACAAAGTAAATCAGAATTGATAATGAGAATTAAAACGAAGAATTATATGAAGAAAAGTCTTGCAAGAAAAAAAAAACTTTGAATACAATTCTTTTACGCAATAACCGAGAAGAATGAGTTTCTTGCGGTGTCTGGAATAAACTGCAAAATGCTCTACATATACTAAGTTACATTTATGCAATATAAAAGTTGGGCCAACCAAGAATTTATTCGCGAATTAAAATAAATATTTCAACAACTTAATGGTGATAACTGACGTCATGCCGAAGTGCACTACGTGTATTAATTTACATTTAATTAATACAGCAAGCCTGAGTCCACAGTGTACAGGGCGAACAGTCGTGCCCGTGGCAGCCTTATGACTGCACCTGTGCACCAAGTAACCACTCTACCTGTGCACCGAGTACCACACCTGTGCACCAAGTACCACACCTGTGCACCAAGTACCACACCTGTGCACCAAGTACCACCCTACCTGTGCACCACCCTACCTGTGCACCAAGTACCACCCTACCTGTGCACCAAGTACCACCCTACCAGCAGGTAGGGTGGTACTCGGTGCACAGGTAGGGTGGTACTTGGTGCAACTCGGTACACCTGTCTCTTATACACATCTAGATGTGTATAAGAGACAGCCTGTGCACCAAGTAACCACACCTGTGCACCAAGTACCACCCTACCTGTGCACCAAGTACCACCCTACCTGTGCACCAAGTACCACACCTGTGCACCAAGTACCACCCTACCTGTGCACCAAGTACCACCTGTCTCTTATACACATCTAGATGTGTATAAGAGACAGGTACCACCCTACCTGTGCACCGAGTACCACCCTACCTGTGCACCGAGTACCACCCTACCTGTGCACCAAGTAACCACCCTACTTGTGCACCAAGTACCCTACCTGTGCACCAAGTACCACACCTGTGCACCAAGTAACCACTCTACCTGTGCACCAAATCGTCGTCAGGAGCGACGCTGGATCGGTCCAGGAGCTCCAGCAAGCGTCGCTCCAGTTCATGCTTGTCCCGCACCAGCTGTGTACGCTCCTCGTGTTCCGTCTCCACCTGCGCCTCCAGCGCTGCAACACGTCAACTTATCAGTTTATGTCGCAAAAATTAAAAGATTGAGATAGATAAGCAGTGAACTCAGATAACAGCAGAGTATTAGATGGCAATTAAGAAAGATAAAGGGTAAACTGCTATTGTCCAAGAGCTAAACTGCTTAGCTAAGTAAACTGCTTAGCTAAGGGAATAACGGTTATAAGAGTGAATGCTTAAACAAGATAATAAATGCTAAAGAAACAAGCTAAATATTCGACCATTGAAATGATTAATAAGGACATTATTCCCTGTGTGAACAATAAAGTCTTTACAAACTGAGTGAACAATAAAACCATTACTCGCTGCATGAACAATAAAGACATTTTCTGCGGGCACAAAAAGACTCTAAAAAAATTGGTAAGGGTTGTTAATGAAGTGTGAATATATATAATGGCCACATTGAAGGTCATCGGAGGTTAGAGTAGCCTAATTGAGCCAAGGCATTAGCATACTGGCATCTGCAGGCGACTGCTTTACCTTTAACTTTTTTCTGGGCGGCAATGCGCACTTCCTCGACCTCTTCTTCCCTCTGCTGCACTTCTTTCTTGTGTTCTTTCCTCATTTGTTCGTTGCTCATCTCAAGGCGAGTGCGCGCTGCCTCCAGCATCTGCACTTGACCGGCCAGCTCGTCCAGCTCTTCTTCCTGCATTGCAATACAGCGAGCTTAGTATCCTTATCCTTAGGGATAAGGATACTAAGGTATCCTCAGTATCCTTATCAGCTGTTCACTGAATGCTCGCAGGCATAGCACAATACAGCGAGCCGTTCATTGAATGCTCGCAGGCATAGCACAATACAGCGAGCCGTTCATTGAATGCTCGCAGGCATAGCACAATATAGTATATAGCATTTTTGTGCCTCAACGAGCAACATTCACAGTTATTTCTGAAGAAAATAACATTTAGTTGAGATCGTCTCTAGCTTCAAAGATCGTGTCGTATTCGAGATTTTAACGTCTACGGATGCCTGAACTATAGTATTTTTTCGTCGACAATTTAGCTGCACGAATACTGCGTGATAGAGTTATTATAAATTACAATCATACTTAGACTAAAATTATTAAAACAATCCAAAGAAATACACATATATTGTAAATAAATAATGAATACTCCTCCGCATCAACAACAAAATTTGTTAAGCAGTAGAATTAAGAAATTGTCGGTGTCTTACACGGTAATTTCAAAATGCGTTAGATGCCAGGAATTTTAGACCAACTCTTGTCAGTCTTCGTAAAGACAAGAGAGCATGAGTACAAGGTCAAGAAACATGGCCACAAATGTAATAAAGATGTTGCATGTGAATTAGCAATGTTTTTCGTGTTGCAGAATTGTTCAGTTCAAAACATCACTGAAGACAAAGCAAAAAAACGCCACTCGAAAGCACGCTTTCTAACGGAGAGCTGCAATACACGCGTCCGGCGTAAGAAGTGGGATTCATCACAGTCCTGCTTCGGATAATTGTTTAAACGAAACTGAACTTGAATTCAAACAATGTATGGTAATACCTGTTTTACCAAAAGATTCATGTTTAAATTAATGAAAGAAACAAAAGTTAGTTTAACCGATCATAATTCATTTTGAAAACCGCACGAGCAAGCGACACGGCGCCCAAGATCTCGACAAGACTTGCGGGGAGAGAGAAAGAGAGAGAGTGAGAGAGAGAAAGCATCCGTTCTGATAGCCATGACATGTCTGTGAGTTCGGCATGATAATTATAGACGACGGCAACATAACAGTCTCTATGTACGGAATGTATTCTACAATCGTCAGATCTTGTTATTTGAATTTAGTTCATCAGTCTATTTGGGTTAACCTTTTCAGGAGCCGACGTCCCAAGTCCGCGCATAAGTTCTTTTTGCCTCCTGATCATCGACTCGAGTTTTCAAGTCATTACAGCGCTACCCAAGTTTTTCGGTCATATAAGTCAGCTTACAGTTCCCCAGTGAACCTTATCTCCGACTATAAATTTTAGACACATGCAGTGTTCGAGTTCCGCATGCATTCGTACTTTCAGGATGGTTTCAAAGTAGCTTTCGAGTCCGGTCGATTACAGTCACCCAAACCAATGACTCGAATTCAATACCAGAACTGATAAATGACTCGAATATCAGTACCAAAACTGATAAATTACTCGAATATCAATACCAAGATAAATTACTCGAACATCAATAGCACTCACCTGGTCCTTGAGTTTGTTCTCGAGGTCGTGCTTGAGTTTGCGCAGCTGAGTGACCTCCTGGTCGCCCTGAGACGAGACGGAGAGCTCGTCCAGCTGCTTGGTGAGGGCGGCCACGCGTTCGTCGCGCAGCTCCAGCTCCAGCTTCAGCGTCTGCATGGCAATAAACAATTACACTACAATTATTAGCTATTTATATTCAACACATATTCAACACGAGCATTCTTCTATAAACTAGCGCAAAAATATAGCGCCGGAACAGGAAAATACGACTTGTATCCATGGGAATGTAGAGGTTGATTATTTATTTATACCTGTTGGTGCAGGAAAAAGTTAAAAAAAAAAATTTTTAGATATAGATTTTCGTTGATATTTTTTCCACACAGACTTCATCAATAGTTTTACAAGTGCGAAATATGCCACGCACCATACGTACATTGTAACAATACCGATATTAAGATTAAGGGGTTAAGATGGCATTTTATTACCATGCACCATAAATGAGAGAATAAATTAAACTAAAAAAAAAGACAGATGTCGGACACCCAGGAAAAAGGTCGTAGCTCTATATTATTAACCTAACCTAACAATAAATTATTTATCGCAGCTTAAAAAAGGTAATTTTGAATGCAGAGCCTGAAATACCAGTTGCAAACACGACAACAGTAAAATTTCTTCAAGCATTCCCCCGACGCCAGGGTACCGCTAGAGTCGCAGCCCGACCTCATTCACGCGAGCAATGCGCGTGTTTCTAGCCGCGAGTCAAGAGGTTGTCGCAGCGAGCGTGTCGACAACGTCACCGTGTCGCTGCAATGCACGCTGAATTGCACAAGCAAAGGCGCTTTTGACGCCCGCGCCAAATAATGAACCCAATGATGTGTTGATGTGTTTTCGTTCGATTGCATACAAATTTAGTTCCTTTGCATACTCAAAGTGTCTTTTGGATAAGAGGACTAACAGCGACTAATTATTAAGGAACACGCTGCGGACGATGAATGATCTTATGCTGCACAACACAAATTAGAATAAAGTAAGTAATTCTAGGTACAAGTTTGAATAAGAGCTGTGCCTCTGACACAAAAGAGTTTCTGTGCCTTGAACTATGCCCGCAATTTGTCAGGAATGGAGCTTAGTGAAATCAAAGACCAGCTGCAAGAGCTCAGAAAATCAAGAAGCTTTTGATCTTATCTGACGGTGACCACAGGCAACGCTCGTCATGGCACTACACATAGCATGGCGGCCTAAAGAGCACACAACTCGAGGTCAGGGTCATGTGCAGCGTAAATAACGAGGCATAACATACGGAAGCTCATCACTTCATCGTGCATAGTTCAATGATTGATCGAGTGATGCTCGATTTGCCACACAGGCAGCGAGCTGTCGACGATCTCGTCAGGGCTTCGCGTTCACAACCAAACGCGGGCTACGCTTACCGGTCACGACAATATTTACTAATTCAAATTGCAGATGAACGTGAACCAATACGCGTTAGAAGAGGAAAAATGTGACAACTTATAAAATACAATTTATAGTAACTAAAAACATGTTTGTATAAACAATATTGTACCTACAAGCAGAGTCACGCTGGATTTGCAATAAATTAATGATGTGTGCAATCGAAGTGCCATTCCTCAGCATTTACAAAAAGCTATTAATATGGTAACTACAACACAAACGTGAGCATTTTTTATCCTATATATGTACCTCGCTTGTTTCGTTCCGCCCGGAAAGAGACGACGGCCATGATTGACAGATCGAATGTAGTAAGGCGCAATAATGGAGCGCAATAATGGAGCGATTGTTCGAGTATGCAGGTGCTGCTATAGCTCACCACTGAACCGTACAGCATCCACCAACTAGACGTACAATATAAATGCCTGCATTGCCAGAATCCGCATCAATTTCCATAACATTATCATTTGTCGAGGGAAACGTCGCAAGGAACAAAAAGATAACTTGATTTTCATTATGTTGCTAACGATCTAAACACTTAGGTACAGCCTTCAGAAGCTTGTGAAGGTTTTGTTGATGTTTTATCATCTGAATTCAATGTAGAAAAGTTAGATTAATTTTTATCTAAATTCTCTAACAGTAAATAACACACAAATAGCGTATTTCAACGTAAAAGTGTTCTTAAATACTTTGCCAAGCTTGTAATGTTGCGGATGAAGTGGATAGTCGATACATCATCCATCAGCTAGAAATTACATGGAAATCAATCTTGAGCAAATAAACGTGCTGATGATCTTACAACAGTAAGATCGTCAACACGTGCATCAGTGGCGAGGTTCATCTTGTAACGCTGCTGCTTGCCGGAAGAGAAAGTGTGGCCAGCGATGTGTTGCTGTTACTCCCGAGCGTGTAGGTACTGCGGAGGAGTACAGCTCTTCGCTCTCTCTTTTCTTATGACGGACCATAACCACCAAGTTCAAGTGTAGAGAGTAAAACAGGCATGACAGCATTGTTCGATGGCAGAGAATTAAATACTTTAAAGTATTTTCTATATGAAAATCGTCCCCTAAACCGAAGATACTATAACTAAGGTACTGAGAATTGTTCAAATAGACCGAGGATACTAAAGACCTGAGAAATAAACTTTTAGATAGGAAGTGGAGGTCATTATAGAATGCACAAGGACTTGTATCGTACCCGAGGACACGTCGATACAAGCATAAGGCACCGCAGGCTTGAGCCACGCAAACAGGAAGTGTTTTCGAACACACCAAGACACTGGGGCTTCATTTGGTCGCTGTGAAGCTGCCACGCAGCACTATAGGTAACGTGGGCAAAGATCTTGATATAGTTCAGCTTCAGCACTTGTGCAATTAGAAAATTAGTATTCCGAGCATTGAAGCCCTTTACCAAGAAGCCATCACAAGATGAGGGTCTCATAGCAGCCAAGTTATTTTTGATTCTGCTCCGAGCAATTAAGATTTGATTGATTGATGCTGCATTAGCCAGCATTTGAGAACAAAAGAGGCATTGTCTTCTGAGTATACAAAGCTTCTAGGAAGCTCTCATAACTCCGGACGCGGCATGCGACCGAGACTGCAGTCCGAGAATTCAGCCCTTTGGCCAAATGTTTCTGGGTTTGGAACAATAGTTCATGCCGATTGGGCTCTTTAAAAGTATGAGCAATAAAAATTCATACACGCATCCTAATTCTATACACAGAACACTTGAGATTAATTAAAACAGAACCAGGCCGGTTAATTAAGAACCGTCCAGTGAAAAAAAAAAACGAATTTTTTCGACGAACGAAAAAAAAGTTTCGTTTTTCGAAACGTTTCGTTTCGTTTCGAAACGAGAAAAAAACGAAATTGCAATTTTGACAGTAATATCCTCCACGACTGAAAATTACAATGGATAACATGATAACTCAATTGGGTAAAACGCATGCCGAAATAAGCGTGCGGAAGCGAGACATCGTTTTTCTGGGCACAAAACTCGCTCGTAGACACGGCAATTATGGGTGGCCGCAAGAGCAGGAAAGATGCAAGCTACACGAGTTTCGCGGAACTTGAGGGGATCTGGGGCCATACTTTCAAAACTCGCTAAGTTAACGTAATTACTTACGCTATATTTTCTTGTCTATGATTGGTGGATTTTTGAGGGGATCAGGGGCCATACTTTCAAAACTCACTAAGTGAACGTAAGTACTTACGCTCTATTTTCTTGTCTATGATTGGTGGATTTTTGAGGGGATCAGGGGCCTTACTTTCAAAACTCGCTAAGTGAACGTAAGTACTTACGCTCTATTTTCTTGTCTATGATTGGTGGATTTTTGAGGGGATCAGGGGCCATACTTTCAAAACTCGCTAAGTGAACGTAAGTACTTACGCTCTATTTTCTTGTCTATGATTGGTGGATTTTTGAGGGGATCAGGGGCCTTACTTTCAAAACTCTTTAAGTGAACGTAAGTACTTACGCTCTATTTTCTTGTCTATGATTGGTGGATTTTGCTTGAAAGGTCGTCAATGATTGGCTGATGAACTTACGATCTCTTAACTTTTTTTGAAAGTATGGGTCCAGGCAGGGATAATGACAGGGGTCGATCAAATGAAAAGCAAGAAATCTCGACCACACTTCCTGCTGCCCGGCTCATCATGCATGTAGGCCACACGCGCGCGACATTGACGAGACCAGTACGTCAATTTTGTATGACCATAGAAGCAATATTACAGAGGGTAGTTTACACTGATTATGGTAACCTATACTTTTACCCATACGAGACTAGAATCGCGACTGTGGCTGACCATATAGAACGATGTCAATGTAGCGAACCCATAAATATCTTACGAAACGTTGTTCATACCTGCGAACGTGGTTAGGATATATTGACACTAACACACAAAAGAGAATTGTATGCGAGTTCAAAAATGCTAGAACTTTTGATCTGTCCGCAAATGATATGTGCAGCTAATATGTGATATGAAAATTGTTATAATTTTGCTAATTTAATTCGTAAAATTGTTTTAAACATTAACAATAAGTCGACAAGTTCAGGCAAAATAAATTACCATCGAAGTTCAGTGTATAAAAAATTATAAAAATTAGTGAATCTTCTCAGTAGGATTCCCATTCAAATGTCAAATGAAGAACTTTTGTTATGCGAAAAAAGAATTTACCGCATGAAGAGTTTACTCTCCCAGAATGACAAAAAAATGGAATTTAAAAATATTATTATACTTAACCGAAGAACACGTATCGAACTAAGAAGAAAATATCCTAATGAAAGCTTAAACAATACGTAGGCACTTCAGCTCTCAACAGTCAATCAGGTCTTCAAGAAATAAGGGTTCAGTTATTGGTCCAAAAGTAAGTCATTAAATTTCAATCGATCGATAGCAAACTATAGCTATATACAAGCTATATACAAGGAAAATAGACTACGTTGACAATAACAAACCTGATAGTCTATAGCCATTGACGTGTCCAAAGAAGCAACTTGCCGTAGTGTGACGACAGGCGTACTAAGCTCGTCTTCTTCAAACGCTGCACTTCCTTCAAGTTCTTTACGATGAGGCAGTTTATCATCACGATTCTCATCACACGAAGAAACTTGAATCTTTTTTTCTCCTCCAATGCCACTCATGTGGTCATTTATTTCCCCATATGGCGGACTTGGAGACTTGCGGTGAATTATAGACTTA